TACTTCGTATGCAGCCATAAAACCAGCATTTCTGAAGTGCACGCTTTGAAGAAATGTCGAGCAACGTGAAATTACTGGCCACCTCAGGTGTCATGAGGTACGACAAAATATAACGCAGTGACGTTTTAGGGTCATCACCCATTAACCTAGTGACCATCGCCATCTGTTATACGAATAAGTTATTAAATTAATGTTGTTGACTTACAAATCTGTCCCTGGTTTCCTTCTGCCACATCCATATCAACTGAATTGTAAAGAAATCCTTCTTTACGCTTCAATGCACATCGAAGAAATGTTAGTAAGATTATTGTACAGACCTCTTTGGTTTTTCAGTGTTTAATGGCAATGTGTTCTCCTCGGTTGAAGTGTTCTTGCGATGAAGCTCCAGTATTTAGAGGGACACTAACACGTCCTTGGCAGACTGCAGAGAATCTACAGTAAATCATAGTTTACGTGTATTTTACTCACCGAATTCGTGAATGACTTTGCATTTGAGAACTGACCGATTCTCATCTGGTCGATCGTAGTTTTGCAGATGGATGTCCACCAGCTCCGTTGGAAAAAGGCAAAGTTCTTTGCCGAAAATTCACTGCTTGGCTGCTATTGTAATTTGTTTCTTGCTCGGAACGTCAACAATGACGTATTGTTTGTTAGCGGGCTAAACATAACATAATAGTTAATGAAATGGTTTATGGTCATGAATTAAGCACAAATAGAACAAAATACATTCACACTAAAGTATGTACCAATGGAACTATAACTAAATAATTAATACAATTAATAGCTATACATTTACAGTCAATGTCCCTAACCGATACCCATGTGTGTTCATGGCTAACTACGGAGCACATAAATATTCCTATATCACTGGATGGGAAAGGATCTTCGAAGTAATTGCGTGGGTCAGTGAAAGACCTAAATTTCAGTAGTCCATCCTCCCGTATATCAGTAACTAAACCAGGTTGTCCGTTTACTACTACTACGTTATCAGGCTTAAATGAAGTTATTTTACTATTCTTAAAATAATTTTTTGTTTATTGGAGACCTCCTTAGCGGCTATTGGGGTACTATTACTTAAACATGTAACTTTAAAGCCTATCGTAGAAGGACATTTTCTCAGCATAACGCTTAGCTGCTTGCTTAGCAACAGCATACCAGCTATGCACAGATTTCTTTATTTGTCTCATGTAAGACTCGAATGGAAAGGCTGAAAAACTATCTAAAGGTCCATGTGCACGAACATCGTCAGGAAGGTGCTGTAACAAATGCACATTGTAAACTAAGTTTTCAGACCCATAACCCTATTCGTATTCCTTAAGAAAGTTTCGTAAGTCCATTCTGACGGATTCTACAACGGCATTATGTAACTTAGGGTGTGCAAGCAGATAAATGGATAACGCTAAACGCTGGAAATTACGATACAAAGGTTGCGGCAATGTTTTCTGCAGAGTCACTAGGCCTAAATATAGAAGGAACAACCTACATTCCGAAGCTTTCCATACCGATACGAAGTCTAGTGTGCGGCATTTACGCTGAAAGTCAGACGGAGTACTTGCCACACATTCAGATATTAAATGTAGCTATAGACTGTAAATGTATAGCTATTAATTGTATTAATTATTTAGTTATAGTTCCATTGGTACATACTTTAGTGTGAATGTATTTTGTTCTATTTGTGCTTAATTCATGACCATAAACCATTTCATTAACTATTATGTTATGTTTAGCCCGCTAACAAACAATACGTCATTGTTGACGTTCCGAGCATTCAGGTCGAAGACTCGGGGTGTGGCCCCCTAAGAAAACCACCTGCTTCGGTTTGGGCACCCGTGCAGTATCACAGCCCTCACATATATCAAATGAGATTTATGTGGCGCATATGTAATTGGTGCCTCCTTGTACTTCAGAATTAACAGGAAGACTGTTTTCACTCTCAATAGCCGAATATACGTGGCTAAAGAAAGTAGTCCGTGCAATTTTTTACGTTGTACTTAATTTTTAATAAACATTGTTTTGTAAAAGAGCTTAATTTCTTACTCATTGTCAGTGAACTTGCGATTAAATGCACATGTGTTATAAATAATACATCACCTGTTTCTTCTGTTGCAGATCTTTTCAAACGACGATGAATCGGCAATTACAATGGAAACGTAAAACGATTGATGTTCAAGCTTCTGTTGTAATGTTGTACAATAATACGCTTTTCCTTTGAAATAAAACTATTTAAATATATACCGTTTTTCCCGTGGATTGCAGTTTCACTGTGGTTGTGGAAATAAAGGCGAATATAGGAGACCTATGGGGTTATGCCAATGGTGTTTTAAAAGTTGGATCAAAAACGCAACTGTGTGCATTTGGCCGAAAAGTAGGCAATTTGGCGTAGATTTAGGCGAACAGTAGACAATTCGGCGGAAATTTAGTCGAAAAGTAGACGATTTAGCAACAAAGAGAGGGAAATCCGCATTATTTCCCTTGGACAGGCGAAAAAGGCGACATTTCGGCGCGTTTTCCCCTTTATTTCCCAAAGTATTTTCCATTTTTTGCCTTTATTTCACCTTTATTGGTTGATTGGTGAAATACACAATCTCCCCATTTCTGTGAAAATTTCATCCATTCTGGGGAAGCCACAATAGAAAACCTTAGTGATGTGAATCAAAAACTCCCGAATTTCACTTGATCTGGGGAGAATCCCCAAAATGTTTTTAAATTTTGGGTTTTCTCCAATATCTCACCAGGATTTTATACCACTTGGTTTTCCTCAAACTTTGGGGAAGACTATAAAACTTCTCATGAATTTACGGGAAACCTTGAAATTTCCCATAGTAGGGTAATTTCTCAAACTTATTCTTTGCTGTGTTTTTTAAACCTGGTTCTCAGTTTAAATTTCCAATGAAAACGTTTGGAAGTTGTCCATTGACTCCATTTTTGATAAAATACCGTTAATTTACCCAAGAAAAAAATTTTCTACTCACCTCAAAATTCTTACCCTTAGTTCTGTCAATAGTTTCCGCAGATATCATGTCTCCTCCATTGTTTATTAATTGTCTACAAACGTCTTAACTATTGCTTATAGCACAATTCATGTCTGCTACGTCAGTCTATACTTGACTATGGTGGTCGCCCTTACGCCTGGTGTGCTTCTCATACCTAAGGGACTAGTGGATAGTTACACTGTACTTCATTTTAAACTCATTCATTCTAAGTTGTATTGATAATTCTCGAATATCATCGGTTTACCTTCGCATTATTTCTTGTAATTCCTTAGTTTATATAATGGAGTAATTAAACAGACAATTGTAGCTGTGTTTTTGCAATACTTACTGCAGTTTCCATGTAAGAATGTACAACTCGAACTACTAATTATTTATAAACGCTCTCTAACTAAGTATAACTAAAATGTCAAAACTCACAGATTCAGAAAAAGGGTAGCATATTTTATAGAATTATATTGTTGACTTAAATTTACCATTTCCAATATTGGTGCGTTTCTTACTGCGTTATGTGCCAAATAAATGATCGGTTTGATGTATGGATCAACAACATCATAATAGATTTTTAATACTTATAATGTTTTCCGACCGGTTTTAGTGTTCTACAGTCACATATTTCACCTATAAATGTGACTAGTGTGTTTTAATAAACGTTCTATTTTTAGTACACTAAATATGTTTATCAAGATTTACTAAGATAATACGACCGGATTCAGTCAGTCTTGAGTGCTGTTAGAGGTACGAGGGCGGTTATCACTTCCCGGTTGTCCACACCGTGGAAGGGTTCTGCTGGAGGTACCTTGAAAGGAAATTGGATTAAAGGTGGTCTTAGTGAACTGAGAACGTGACCGCAGTGCCCAAGGGACAGCTGCTTGAGGTTGGACACACCCGACATTTCTGTGGGTAATCTTCCTGTTAGCTCCGTACTTTGTTGAGACCTTACCGCCGGAGGCGAATATCCGTGAGATAAGGTGAGATGTGTATTTTTAAGGTCGACCTTTTCTAACTCCACCCCTCCTTGTGGGAAGGCAGCATCACTGTTATGCTGATTGTCTGAAGGATGTATGTACAGCAAAATCAGAGCATCCTAGTGAGCGGATATCAATAAACATAAACCTTGGAAATTCTTAAGTGACAATCGTATTTTTGAGATTTTGACACTGCAATAGCTTAAAATTTGCTTGCTATTATAACGAAATGAATATTTACATATTCAGGACCTCAGAGCTATTTTTTCGGATTATTATTTTTGTTTTCTATTTTCACTTTTATCAGGTAACTCTATTATTCCATTTCTATATCCTTATTATAAGCTTTCAGCAAATCTATTAGCTATTGTTTTTTTTTTGTTTAAATATCCCTTGGTTATTGCTTACTAATTACAAACCATTTGTTTCTTCTAAAGTACGATTTCTCGTTTGATATGCTTCGCGGTCTGATAATTTGTCAACATAATCTAACAAGTGTCTAAGATAAGCACTGTTGGGTTCGGTGATTAAGATATATTAATAAGAAAAGCTGGATTGCATAATTATTTTCAGACACAATTCTAGTGGTTAAGAAAGTCCTTGGAATAAGTATAACTAACTCTAGCTCAAAGTTAATTGTGCCGGTCAGAATGTATGGTTGTTCAGGGCTAAGAAGAAGCTTGGCTATGGTCGAAATAACAGAGTTGGAGCAAAAAATTGGAAATCTGATTAACGAATTTATCCCTTGTTATCGATTAGCGTCTTAATACAAGGTTTAAGCGAATATTATCTGTTTATGAAATATTTTATAGTCATCCAGTAGCTTATTTCAAGAAGACAAACAAACATGGCCTGGATCGACTGATAGAAATAAAGCTAGCCCTATATATCTGTATATAAGTATTCTGATTCATAAAAGTTTTGAGTAATTTCACGTGATTAGATCAAGATTATATTGGTTCTTGTATTGATTAATTTGTAGATAACGCACCACTGATCAGAACATCGACAGCTTTCAGCATCAAATCCGTTCACTTGAACGATGACAAAGCAAAAACATTCGACTAATAATGTCGCAAATTTTTCACCTGTTCATCATCATATGAATTTATTATATCAACAAATGTCTTTATTCATGAACTTAAAACCCACATTGCAAAATGAAGCATTCACAGCATTGCTATGCCGTATAACCTCACAAAATCTACAAATTCTTGGTAGAAAATCGCAGACACGATTATCATTTGCTATACGTCGATCATTATGTACTAAATGCTTAGTTCCATTACAATTATCGGGTAAAGTAAGAGTAAGGAAACGACATATTCATCTATCATGTGCATTATGTAATCACCAGTCTATTATCTCTTATCCAATTAATAAGTGGCGTGCAAGCTACTCAGAGTCTGTACTACCAGATTCTTTCTGCTGTAATGAAACTATTGAAAAATCCAATAATGAATAAACAAAAAGATACATTTTCCAATTATTGTTTCTGTTTTGTAGTTTTAAATAATTGAATATGTTATTCTTTTGTTAGTTTCACAAAAGACTGTTGTTAACTTATTTGTGAATATAGATTAATGCTCTTGGCTTTGAGGCACACTTTAAGTAAGAGCTAATGATGCTACCCGGTTGGCCAAACAGTGACACATAAAACGTTAGGTTCGAACATCTTGCCTAATAAGTGGCTGGAATTCGGAAGTGTTAATCATTGAACTACACCTTTTTTGCACAGGGATGTAGTTTTGTTTTTAACGAAGTGCTTAGTTACGTTTAGTTCGTGTTATTTACTAACATTCAGTTTAATTGAAGCCACATAGTTGTTTTCTATCCATTGACTCCGTGTGGAAAATGTAACTTGTGTTACATTCAGTGAAATATTTGTAAGACTACTTAAGACTTAAAGAAATTCTAGCTTCTAATCCTTGATTTATAGAGAATTCGTGACTATTAAATATATTTTATTTATTTATTTTAACACATGGATATTGGTACAAGGAGGTACCGAATACATATACGCCACACAGATCTCATTTGATATGTGTGAGGGCTGTGATACTGCCCGGGTGCCCAAACCGAAGCAGGTGGTGTTTTTAGGGGAACACACTCCGAGCCTTTGATCTAAAGGTCTGACTCACAAGGCAGTAGAGCATCGTAAGGAGATGCGGTCCCATGGTAGCCGGTGACCAACGATTGGTTCATACGCCATTTGTTCCTTCAGGATACTGGAGCCCATGTGCACCATTGGTTTGGGATCCGGTTATAGCGCCGGACATTCGCTTTTCGTCCTCTCGTTTTCGTAAAGAACACCCGTAGTGCGAGAAGTCAGTGAGTAGGACTTCCCTGGCAAAGGCTATATACGCGTGTCCATGTGAGAGCATTTGGAGAGGGAAAGCGGACTCTCCCCACTCTCGACCGTACCAGTGCATTTGTGGGCTATTAAAAGAAATTGTTTTATTCTAGTTAACTATGTGATTTTAACAAGCCGATCTTTGTTTTGCTGAATAATAATGGCAATAAACATCGTAAGACAACCAGTCGATTCTATTCCTCCCAGGAAGACGGTAAACGTTTATAAGCTTATCCTTTGTACATGCAACATCATCTGTCGTTGCTTTTTAGTGGTTTCTTGTGCCCACAATAATATGCAAAGATTATTTCCCTACCTGTTATCTATTCCTACTTTGTATTGTTGAATCTATTCAGTAACCATTTTATATATCTATTTTCCAAATACGTTTTATAGTAGAGTTCTAACGCTTATCTAAGTTCTTCCAGTTGATATTCTGTTTACTGACTTTTATTGTAGAATACAATTATTTCTGATTGTTTAGACGCTAAGAAAATACTACTCAGAACTATTAAGATTATTCTTAAGATCTAACGAAAATCCCTGACCATTTGGTAATAATATTAAACAACGCTTATGAAGTTTATCTTCAGTCAGTCAGTTGTAACGTAGGACCAGGCACGTATATGCATCGGTCCAAGTTGCCATACCGCATTAGCACAACAAGATGAACACCGGATTCAAAAAAGTAGTTAATTCAGTGGTGGTAACATATAGAAGAAAGATCGTGTATAAGGAGATAGTACAGGAAGAAATAATTAGTTTCTAGAAAGAAAGATTTGAAGTGATTTTAATCTCTTAATTTGAAGGAAGACAGAGTGTATACACCGACGCCATTTTGATCGATTCTGAGCCATATCACCAAAAGTCTCCAACCATTGGTTACGAGTCACGCGGACCCCAACCAGGCAGTCTGAATCTTCCGACATGTCTCAGACCAGAAGTTAGTGACTTCAAGCACTGATGCCACGTTTTGGTTTGGCCGCCCCTAACTTTCTTCCAACCATCCAAAACACCAGTTAGCATTGCGCGTCGTGGTAATCGTTCAGGCATACGCAAAACGTGGCCCAACCATTTCAGTCGATGAAGATTCACAACCTCATCAACTGATTTACATTATTCCCTAGTACCCCGCGTCTAACCTCACTATTACTTACCCGGTGATCCCAGCAGATACCAGCGATATTTCTAAGGCACCAGTGGTCAAATACTAGTAACTTGCGAGTATCTTCTACTCTTAAAGGCCATGTTTCGACTGAAACTGAAGTGCTTATCAGTTGGATAATCTTTAGTTATATCACAGAGCACTGCAAACGCCCTATTTCATGACTTTTACACACCTGGTCACTAAGCATCACTCTAAATAATGGATAATTCTAACTAACAAGGATATTCTTAGTAATATTTTCCAATGAATTTCTGCGTAGTAACGTTTCCTGATATCTGATTGATTGTTATCCCTTTTAGTTTTACAGTTTTGTTATGTGTTCCAAAGTCGTCACATATTGCACTTTAACTTCTCTGACATTGTTGAATCTCAAACTTTACCTGGACTCTAGTATTCTTGAGTTTCATCATTTCGAGAATAATTGTGTAAACATTATATGCTTCAGTGACCGTACTTTTGAGTTCTAATTAGTTCCCGTTCTTTTTTTAGATACTACCAATGGGCCAACTGGATCGAAATCCAATCTCTAAAAATAACACTCTTAAGAGATGAATTTATAATCTATGTGAACGCTGATAGTTCACATCAGAATTCCCTATGGTTGACCAGTTATTTTCATAAAAAAACCTCTGGTTTCTGTCTCTATATCCTTCTCCAATCCTGTAACATGAAAGTGCATAGATTGTGATCTTTCACATTGACTATTGTGTTTCACAGACCAAAATTGAAAAACATCAATCAACACCTCGTTATTAATGATGGGCTTCGAATGTCAACCATGTAGCGACTTGGAAATAAAATAAAAACAGCAAAAATAATAGAGTAAGATTCTTTATGGATGTGTTTATCATCAACCTCTGATAAAGCGCATCTGGAGCTCGAAGAAATTCAGAAACCGTGATAATTTTATCATTTTATGGTTTGGTGTATCTATTGTAAGCATGACTGGAATCTTACGACACTCAACTATAACTTCAAATCATTGTCAAGATGCCGCTTTCTCAGATTCATACTTATACTTACTTGTCAACTCAGATGTGCTTTTCCCATCACTTCAAATGTTTACGTATAGGATGTGATTGGTTACAAATCCAAGTTTCCTTTTACTGAATTCATGTAAGAATCGCTATATTTGTTACACTGGCAATCCCCAGTTGTAAAGTAGTGTGGTATTAGTACTTGAGATTTTGTTAGACCAACAACTATAATATTGTTCTATACAGAACCACATACAGTTACATGTGCATACATATAACTCTACTCAAGCGAGAAGGATAAAGACTGGTAGTCGTAAATTCGCTTAGCACCTAGAGTAAAGTGGAAAGTATACTTCGATATGGTTTTTCTTATATTGGTTTATTTACATTGACTAATCGATATAAACTTCTCAAGCATACTCTCCAATTCCCAATTATCTGAGCGCTCTCATAACATAATCTTATAATTTTTATGAATATTATTTCAGCATCTATATTTTTACAAGTCATTAACCTATTTTTCATTATGAAACATTGATTTAAGGCTTTGTGATTCTTATCAAAACTTGTTGACCTGTCATCCTAATATCAATTCGTACTTCCTTACTTATTATGTTTATTTATGTAATCTATTCCTCTGTTATCACTGAATCATAAACTACCTTGATTGGTTTAATAATTTCGTGTATGTATATAAATATTATTGTATATTAGAGTAAAGCCTAATGAGTCGTCTGTAGCTTAATCGAACTTGCCATTGGTTATTCAATCAACTAGTCATAGGTCCAATTACTGAGTGGGCACTGTTGAGGAGTCCTATATTAGGGCAAACTGGTCTCGTCTAGTGCTTACAGATTTTCAGTGATGGTCTGACTAAGATCAGTTCGTGTTAAAAATTAGGTAACAAAAGTCACGTTAGGTATAAGTACTAAAATTAAAGGACAAAACCTCCCTTACAGTAGACACCAAGAGTTTAACAACCTGTCAAATGAATCTACATAATTCATTTTCTTTCGTTTCATACTACAGCACATAAAACTCAGGGATGAAGGAATTTATTGATCTCTGGTACTCTATCAAGATTTTCATATACAATCGATTCAGGAAGAATATTAGCTTTCAAATTTATTGAAAAGTTTACTGAGTAAATCAAGAAAGCTCACAAATTTATTGCATGTCTTTTTACAAACAGTACAATAATATCTCAACATGCGTGGAGATTTTCATCGCAATAGCACAAATATTGATCCTCAAAGGCGTCCGTCCAGCTTCGAAAAACTTTATTCTCCCATGGATTTAGTACTGAAAAAAATCAAGTTAAGTAATTAATTTGCAGCGAAATCACACTTCAGAGAGCACTAAAGAAGACTATCTACCATAACTCCAACGATGTGATTATGACCAATTGGCCTTAAGAGCGAAGGAACTATCCTACTATCAAACAAGTAATCTGCTACACAGGAATTGACTGGTTACCAAAAGAAGAGAAGACGGCTGTAGCTAAAACTTACACATCCGAATACTACACAACAACACTAAATAAATGCATGAATAATTGGACCAAAATGCGCAGTTAATGAAGGGAACAATCCATACCAAAATAAGGCATTTAGGGCACGAACAAACGGGATAGGAATCGTGAATAAATGACAATAAATTCGGACTAGATGTTAGTAGATTGGACGAAAGCTGACGATGAATAAAATTACGGAGTCACATAAACCAGACGTTAATTATTCGAGATTAAAAGTCCAGCGAACCAACACATTAAAAAGCAGCTTCTAATTCTCACTACTTATTCAACCTCTTCAAAACAATCACAGTATTGAAGCATATTGTCAAGTATGTCCCACTAGACATATCCCGCAAAATTGCTGTTTTCAACGGAAGTGAAATCCCCTTCTATCAACCCTGGGTCTGGCAAATATATATACTTTGTTTGCAGTGTCTTTTTTTCTAGAGGTAAA